GTGAATTCTGTTCGATCACTAAGTTGGTCATCAAGGTGGTTTGGCGTGTACGGACGAGACTGCAGAGAAGTTCCTCTTTGACATGGGTGGTCATGTTATATTCAGGTGAGAATCATTCTCGTCACGACTCGTGTCGTGAATAACGCCGTGGCGATATCATTTCTTGAAGAGCAATCTCTCTCCAAGGCAAATGCTTTGTGCATCAGCCATTACGACTATTTCGACGAGCTACTCGATGCGGCAGTAGGATCTGGCCCCGAGTACTGGAACGTTCATCAGCGAGTCAGCTATGTATGGATAAGAGAAAGGTGAGGCAGCAACCCTTTTGGCTCGCCCAAGAGACCAGTGTGGTCCAGGTGGGTGCCATACCCCTTCCAGAACAATCTCTACTGTCTACCACTCGAGGATAAGATTGAGTGCATCAATGGCGTTATCGAAGTAAACAAGGCACCCTGTATGGCTGAGGCTGCTGTCAGGCGACTAAGTTGTCCGCATCGTCACAGCGAGAGAAGCCGACTACCTTTGATGAATGGATACTTCGCGTGATGGGTGATGGAATTGCCAACCTCTTCATGCGGCCGTACAACTTCAAAGTGAGATTGGCATTCAAGATCAGTGTAAAGGCGTTAAGCTTGTCGAACATATTTTGGTAGTTATAACTAGAGACTCTCAGTTCGGAAATAAGTTTCTTTGTGTTCTTCCTCAGGGAGTGTTGGAATATATGTTCGCTTTCCTCGGCCGAACTCAGGAGTTTCCTCACTAACCATAGAAGTTTACATACCATTCCGGGTAGAAGTGTACAGAAACCAACAGAAATTTCCCAAAATTTCATCGGAATTTTCATATTGTCACCAACACATGTAGTTGAGTTTGTGCATTTTTTCTCACTGATTCAAGGTATGGGCTTATCCTACCACGGAGATGCAGTGCGACTGGCTTGGTGAACGTGTTGCGACAGTTGATGCCAAAAAAGTGAGGGAATAAGGCCTCTGAAGCGTCGCGAGGTCGTCGCTGTTGCAGGTGATTGAGAATGTCCTCCGCGATGAACCTGCTGCTGGTTGGGGGCCAAACGCTGTTTTCCGATTCCCCAAACAGTGAGTCATCTCTCTGGATTTAATCCCTGTTTGATTTGTACTTATCCTCTTTTTCAAGTGTTTATAGTGACCATTGAATGTGCAGTCATTCAAAGATGCCGACCTGTTGTTTTTCTATATTTTAGCGGTGGTACCGGGGGTATTTGGAAAGGAGTGGCTGCATTATTGCCGCAGGAGCGGATACACTACGGAAAGGAGATGAAGCAAATCGATTTGGACAATCGAATAGCGACTTTTCATGATGGTAGGATGAAGTGGGACGAGCTGGTTATTGATGGTTCATCATTCGAGGTTCGACCATTCGGTATGGGAAGTTGCTCAGCACGGTTCCACTAGACCTCGTTTTATCGATGCTGACAGCCGAGAGTTTTGGGAATACTTTGAAGCTTCGGAGTCGGCTTGAATACTCAAGTTTGTGCCTGGAGGGTCGCCGTCAGTGATATGAGGAATTCGCTGGTGGCAGGCACTCATGTGATTGGTCTTGGAATTCGCGGTATCAACCCGCATGACCTTAAGTGCTGG